CTCCGTGGTCATGTGGCCGGCATGACTAAACACCAAAGGCGCACGGAACGCGGTTACCTTCCCACCAAAGGTGGTCCCTATTTTTCTACTTGCATTTTTTTTACATGCTTTCGAACTGCTAGGTTGGCAAAAGCTGGGACAAGTAACGAGAGCTCACCCCGTTACACGGCACTCGGGATTCGAACTGCTGAACTGCCGACCTTTCGATCGACAAGCTCAGCATCTTAGCCACTGAGCCACCACGTTCCAAAGAATTATATAAGTAAAAAATAAAAGTTGACACAAACTACAAGAAATACCAACAGATTTTATAAAGAACGGGTACTTTGGAAAGAGGAAAGTAAAAAGAAGTAACTTTCCCTTCATCCCCGCAGATAAAAATAATTTTAATAGCTGATTACAGTCTCTAAATAAAACATAATAATTTTCTCCTCACAGGGCCCATCTCTTAGATAAGGAAGACAAAAATCAAAGTGCTTAGTCAATCAATCGTTGCCAGGAAAAGTCCAGTAAGGACTACCAGTAAGAATTTTCTTGATAATCTCTTCTCTCCCCATACTCTAGATATAAAATTAAGGCAATAGAAATGTCTGTAATTTAAAGCTGTCCTAAAAACAAAACTAGAAATGATTGGATTTGGGGGATTTGCAAACAGTTTCACAACAGAAAGAAATGATCTCATTTTCTATTGATACAATAAAGACTTGATATTGGGTCACTTCCGCTCTGAGTATTTGGAAATAACATTTGAGTGGATCAGTACAGTTATAAAATATGAATTGAACTGGGCAACTTCTCAATAGTTCACCCAAACATTTGTAATTAATAAAACCACACACAAGTCATCAATTCAATATTTTCCTCCTTTTATCATCTTCATTGTTAGAACAGTTGTTTTCAATTTTTAGGGTCACTCCCAAGGGTTTGGGACGGTGGGCGTGGCTTGTTGGGGGGGGAGGTAATATGACTGAGTGGGCATAGCCAACTTTTTTTTTTTTTTTTTACTTTTAAAACCATTTTTTCTACAACCTCTTCAGCTGAAGACGTTGTTAAAAAATGCTTTTAAAGCCTCTGACGATCCCAGCTGACTTGCCTGATTGGCAGAGGCTTTCTTTTTTACTTTTAAAAGCATTTTTTCGGCCAAAGAGGTTGTAGAAAAAATGCATTTAAAAAAAAAAAAAAAAGCCTCTGATGATTGCGCGGCTCAGCTGGGCAATGAGGGGGGAGGGCAGGGATTTTTGCTACTGGTTCTCCGAACCACCTGCCTCCATCGCTACCGGATCAGGTGATCCGGTCCAAACCGGGAGCATTTCAGACCTGGTTTGGGAGATCCATACTCACCTGTGGCCTAAAGTTTATACCTTGGCTCAGCATACTTACAAGTAGTCTCAAATTATGACAATTGGGCGCAGAATTTCTGTTGTTAATTGAGACACTTGTTAAATGAGTTTTGCCCCATTTTACAACCTTTCTGGTCACAGTTGTTAAGTGAATCATTGCAGTTGTTAAGTTAGTAATACAGTTGTTAAATGAATCTGGCTTTCCCATTGACTTTGCTTGTCAGAAGGTCACAAAAAGGGATCATATGACCCCAGGACACTGCAATCATCATAGATACATGTCAGTTGCCAAGCGTTTAAATTATGATCATGTCTCCATCTTCTTCTTCTGGTGCCATATCCGTCATTGGACGTTGGCAATCATGTTGGCGATCCTATTTTTGTCAACAGCCGTATGAAAAAGTGCTGCTGAGTTTTGTCCAAACCATCCCTTAGGTTTTGAAGCCACTATGTTCTTCTTCTGCCTGGACCTCGTTTGCCTTCAGTCTTTCCCTGGAGGATTAAGTGAAGGATGCCGTATTTTTCTGGGTGTCGCATCACATGTCCAAAATATTCTAACTTTCACTTTTTAATGGCTTTGATTATTTCCCTATGTGTCCATAGGGATGCTATACTGGTCAAGTGTGAAAAATAGCCATAAGTCACTTTTTTCAGTGCCGTTATAACTTCAAACAGTCACTAAGCTGAATGTTTGTAAAACAAGGACTACTTGTATTGTGTAAAGCCAGCCAACAAATATACACCTAATTCCTCAATATAGCAACAGCAATAGCACTTATATATAACACTTACCTTATTTTTCAGAGTATAAGACACACCTTTTCCCCCCCTAAAAGGGGGTGAAAATTTAGGTGCATCTTATACACTGAATGTAGCCTCGCCCACCCACTGGCCCCCACCCTTTGGCCTCTGCCTCGCAGCAGTTACCTCCTTGCAAGCAAACAGCAAGAAAAAAGAGCTCCTTTCAGCTTCAGCACAGCCTAATTAGCACAAGTTGATTAGATCAGCCTCCCAACTCTCAGCTGATTTGCTCTCAGCTGTTTTGCGCAGGGCTCTGCTGCTTGCTGCAAAGAGCTAAATTGCTGGAGCAGATTTTTTTTCCTTGTGTTAACCAAGCTATGCTGAAAACGAAAATGAAAGTAAAGCAGGCTGTTTGCTGCAACGAGGCAAAATTACTCAGAGGCAGAGGCAGAGGCAGAGGGAGATTTCTTTTTCTTCTAGTCCTCACCCAAAAAGGTAGGTGCGTCTTATACTCCGAAAAATACGGTATATACTGCTTCATTGTGCTTTATAGCCTTCTCTATATTTGCTTTTCATGTGAAAAGCATGGAAGCCATGTAATGCATGCTGGGAACTTTTTATTTTCATATAGATGATGATGATGATGATGATGATGATGATGATGATGATGATTATGATTATGATGATGGAGAAGATTTACCTGCAATCTACCATAGTTGTCCCTCATTTCAAAACATGGGTTTAATAAAAATTGCCTTTGGCAATTTGGACTGGAGTCTTCTAACATGAAAGCCAGTTTTTAATTAAATACGTGTTTCAATGCTTCCAGTAAAATTTGGCTAAATACCTTGTATTTGATCTTGTAAACGACAAATTCTGTTTGATAAAGGGAAATGCTTTAAACTCCTGTGGTTAAGAAGAGCATTTCAATAGAAGCGAAATGTTTCATTTGAAGGATATAAAAGAAGAAATTAGGGAGGATTAAGTTGTGGCTTTTAGAAAAATTATTTTTAAGTTAAACAATTTTAGGGATGATGATAACAGTTCTTTTCAGCTATTATAATAGAATATGAATGTTCGGAATGCAGCAAACATTTCTCTTCTAAGCACAGAATGAAGCTGACGTATTTTATCAATGCTGGAAACTTATTCACTTTCACTAGGAAAGAGAGACAGAGAGAGAGAGGAAGAAGGGAGAAGACTTAACTCTTTTACAGGTAGTCCTTGACTTATGAACAGTCACTTAGCAACCATATTAAATTATGACAGACCTCCCAAAAGGTACTTACAATCTGATTTGAACTTCCAATGTCTGTCCCTGCCCAATGGTCATATGATCATATTTTGGGCCCACTCAATGGAGTTGTGTTGTTTTAAGTCTACTTACTAATGTAGGGTTTCTAAGCCAATCAGAGTCTTCAGATTGAACTGATTTAGATTTTTGGAAGGAGAAGAGTCAATTTGTTTTCAATTTATATCAATATCATCAATTGTTTTAATGAGTGGCATGATGGCCTAGTGGTGAAGCTAATCACCTCCCGTTCGGGAAGGTTGAGAGTTCAATCCTAGGTAGCGGCAGATATTTCTCTCTCCCCAGGCGCAAAGAAAAAAATATCTGATGGGAACTCCATGTGGCGTCAGGGAGGGCATCCGGCCAGTAAGTGCTCAGCTCCATCCAGTCGCCCCAATTCTATCTCGAATTAGTTACGGGATGAGAGTTGTAAAAGAGAATATCATCAATTATTTTAATGAAGTCACGTACACTGTTAATTTAAAGAATAGCACACCTGGAGCACATCAAGGCAGGCAAGGCTAAATCAATTCCTTGAATCTATTGGTCCATTGCAGGGATCTCCAAACTTGGCGACTGTAAGACTTGTGGACCTTAACTCCCAGAATTCCCCCGCCAGCATGAAGTCCACAAGTCTTAAACTTGCCAAGTTTGGAGACCCCTGGTCCATTGCAGTAGGAACACGCATCACGTCCTCCCTATCGTTATAGTGCAGGATTTCCATTTTAAATTATTGCAAGCTGAGGATGGAAAGCATGGGTTTCTTGGAGGCCAAAAGCAAATGCTCCATCAAATGGCATGTTTTTAGCTGCATAGTGTTTGCCTTTAATGCAGGTTGTTTTTGCTTACAAATTGCTCAGGTTTGAAGCCAAATTGAACTGAGCTACCTGCATGGAAAGAACACCTGGTAAATTTGCCTTCCATTACTGTGATTCCAATGTGTACACATGGTTCCACTTTCAAAAAAGTACTATTTGCTTTAGTGATTTATATTTGGACAATGCAAATGGAAAATCAGGAGAATTATCCTAAGGGACAGAGGGTGAAAATCCCCTCACTAAAGTGGGACTTTCATGCTAATAACTATTCTTATCTTCAGAGCTAGGCAGTTAAGAGGTTGAGTAGTTTGCTCCTAAAACAGTCATAAATACAACCCCGCCCCCCAAATTATTATCTAACATAGGATTCCCCAACCCCCAAGCTGTCAGTTTATGGCCTGTTAGTAACTACTAGGCCGTGCAAACGAGCAAAGTTTCAACTGTGCATGTCCAGAATCTAAGTAGCACATGAAGCCATTCCCCAACACCCGATCCATGGAAAAATAGTTTTACACGAAACCAGTCCCTGGTTGGGAATCGCTGATCTAATATGTAATGGTTTTATGGCTTCCAACAAGCAAGTCAACAGGGGAAGCTGATTCACTTAATAACCATGTGATTCACTGAACCACCTGTGTGATTCGCTTAACAACTGTGGCAAAAAAAAGTTGTAAAATTGGGCATGACTCGCTTCCTGCTTAGCAAGGAAAATTCTGATCCCAATTGTGGTCAGAAGTCACCTGTATGGAGTTGTGAACAAATATTACAAACACGACTGCCATGCTCTGAAGTATTTTTTTTTATTTTCAGATCTATCCTGTTGGAGAATATGGCTGAGAAACACATTGTTCGCTTATCCGTTCACTCATTCATTCATTCATTCACTCACTCACTCATTCATTCGTTCATTCATTCAGTTTTGTCTACTGGAACAAGTTGACTGTTGGCAGTGCTAAAGATATAAATTCTTAGCACAAAAAAAAACAAATGTCAAGGACTTGTAGGAATCCTGCCAGAATATAAAAGAATTTTATAATTAGTCAAATCGACACAGGAACCCAAACTGTGCTCAACCTTAAATATGTCTTTGCATCTCAACATTTCCATCTGTTGGCTGGAGCTGAGGGGAATTGGAATATCAGAACATCTGGTGGAGCATTGATGCACCATTCTGAAATTTAAAGAAACTTGGGTAGCTCTGAAATGTAATGTATACATTCGAAAAACATAAAATCAAGGCTTCTGTACATTCCCAATAGTTTCTTTTGTCCCATCTTGGGGAGGGAAGAAATATTCAAACACCTATTAACTTCAAACACACTTTTACTTTAAATTTATCCTTGAGATGAATTTTTCATCCATCTTCCCAAGGAAAATATAGAAATTCTGGAAAAAGGGAAGATGTGCAAGACCACTATTATGAAGAAGCAAAAGATTTAAAAAGAGCTACCAGGCTAATTTGAGGCAATGTGCTATAGTTTGCATTTCAAATGATTCAGTTGAATTGCCTGAATGGAAGAATTCAATTGAATTGAATTTTCAAAGCAAGAATCTATTTTAATTATATGCTTTAAAAGAAACATTATTTTAATTAGAGAACGAAGTTGCACTCTTCTACAAGGCAAAAGGCTGTAAAAAATGATCATTTGAATACTTCATTTTGCAAGTTTAACTTGAACTTCTATCTTTATTTCTTTTTTTGAGACATTCCAAAATAAAACCTCAAGAAATAAGCCCATTCACTTTTAGGATGAAACTTGACTTGTAAGATTAAAATTATACCTTACATGTAAATAATACTAAATGAAGCCAGGCATATTTCCACGAATGTATTCACCATCATTTGAATCATTCTCCATGTCCTATAGATATTGATCATGGAAACAACATGGGAATTTACTTCCCAATTTTTTCTCTTAAAAATAACGTTTCAACTAAAAATGGAAGTGAGATCTTATAGAGCAGGAGTCTTCAAAAATGGCAACTTTAAGATTTGTGGATTTCAACTCCCAGAATTTCTCAGCCAGCCAGGAGGAATGTGTTCTGGAGGAATCACAAAGCCAATTCAACTCTGTGAAATAGGTTTTTGTTGATTTTCCAGTATGGCGGTGGAAATGGCTTCCCTGAATACTTGCTGAAGAATGAATTTCAAGCTGTAAAGGCTCCAATTGTCATTTAGTTACTTCCCATGGCTTTCTAATATAAGGCAGGGCTCTCTCCAAGAGAATTCAAGCCATTCAAATTGTTTCCTCTAGATGTGCTCAATCCCAACTCTCATCATGTTGAATATGCATGTTTTTGTCCACTTTTATTTGTATAAATTTGCTGCATATTTCAGGGATTGGTGCAAGCAACATTACTTTTTGTTGTTGTTGTTAATTGCGAAGTCATGTCCAACCCATCGTGACTCCATGGACAATGTTCCTCCAGGCCTTCCTGTCCTTTACCATCCTCTGGAGTCCATTTAAGCTCACGCCTACTGCTTCAGTGACTCCATCCAGCCACCTCGTTCTCTGTTGTCCCCCTTCTTCTTTTGCCCTCCATCGTTCCCAGCATTAGGCTCTTCTCCAGTGAGTCCTTCCTTCTCATTAGGTGGCCAAAGTATTTGAGTTTCATCTTCAGGATCTGGCCTTCTAAAAAGCAGTCAGGGTTGATCTCCTCTAGAACTGCCTTACATTAAAAAACAAAACAAAACACCAAACCAGTGTTAAATAGTGTACACTGTAGTCAAAACTATGGTTTCCCCAATAGTAATGTATGGCTGTGAGAATTGGATCACAAGAAAGACTGAGTGCTAGAGAACTGATCCTTTCAAATTGTGGTGTTGGGGAAGACTCTTAAAGAGTCTGTTGGACTGCAAGGATATCAAACCAGTAAATCCTAAAGGAAATAAATTCTGACTGTTTGTTTGGAAGAACAGATACTGAAGTTGAAGCTCAAATTGTTGAAGTTGAAGAGCCTTGATAGTACAGTGGTCTAAGGCACCCTGTTATTAAGCTGGTTATTAAGACAAGCTGCCTGCAATTACTTCATGTTCAAATCTCGCCAAGGCTCAAGGTTGACTCAGCCTTCCATCCTTTCTAAGGTAGGTAAATTGAAGACCCAGTTGTGGGGGCAATAAGCTGACTTTGTATAAATATACAAAAGGATGAAGGCTATTGCTGAGCACATTGTAAGCTGCCCTGAGTCTCCGGAGAAGGGCGGCATATAAATCAAATAAAAAAAAAAATACTTTGGTCACCTAATTCAAAGAAAGGATTCACTGGAAAACACCCTGATGTTGGGAAAGAGTGAAGGTCAAAGGAGAAGAGGATGGCAGGGGATGAGATGGTTAAACAGTATAATTGATATAATGAACATAATTTTAAGCAAAACCTAGGAGACAATGGAGCACCGTGGGGTACTGATGTTCTATGATCCATGGGATTGCGAAGAGTCAGACATCACTTGGTGGCCCAACAACAACAAAATGAATGATATGTTTTCATTCCAGGCTTGTTTGATTAGAACAGGGGTGTCAAACTGGCGGCCCATGGGCTGGCCACACCCACCCCAGCTCCGTGAATGGGAAAAACATCATGAAACATCACGTGATGGCAACATGACATCACGAGTTTGACACCCATGGAATAGAGTGTTCTCTCTCTCTCTCTCTCTCTCTCTCTCTCTCTCTCTCTCTCTCTCTCTCTCTCTCTCTCTCTCCCACCCTCCCTCCCTCCCTCCCCCTCCCTCTCCCTCTCTCATCTATACATTTATATAAATGCCCATTTTCTAACCAACTCTGGGTGGCTTCCAATATTACACTGGAACTCAAGAAGATAGTGTAAAAACATTGTCATATTGCTGTCCAACAGCCCTATGTGGTCATCTTCTTAGCCATCAGATAGTTGGCAATATGTTGACCATCTTGGCTCAACTTGGAAAAAGCTAAAATGGATTGGATCATCTTAGGAACTCCAGGCTATAGACTTACACTTGAAAATTGTAAAACATCCTGGAGTAAAATTGTGGCAGTTGCTTCCAAATGGTTGCTAAGAGAACCCTCTCAACTCAAGAGAGAATTTATTCCACAGGACACCCCTCCCCCCGCTTCGTGTTATAGATATGGCCCTCCAATTCATGCAGGGAGAAACTTCTGCCAACATTTTTCCCTGGTCCCTTGTCGAGGGAAAGTGAAGTTGGACAGTGATTGCACACAATATTTTTCTGTTCCAGCTCTCTGCTCCCTGACAGTAGATTGGCAGCAGCCTTTCTGGGAAAACTTTTTAAAACAATGCGCTTCTGGAAGTCCTTTTTTAGAACAAGTAATCGCTACGATGTTCGCTTGTGTTTTTGCTGGTTTTATGTTTTCATTCTGTTTTTCTCATTCCGTGTTGTAAATGACTGGGCGTCCTTTTGTTGAATCTGGCAGCGTATAAACACAACCAAGCATAAAAAGATGTATTCACATGTTGCAAACTGCATTGCAACATTCAGGAAAGGGCTGGAATTGGCCTATAACGATGCCGCAGCTCACACAGAGCCTTGGGACTTGAGGCTTGAATAAATTTGCATTAATATGCAAATCAGTATAACCAGGGAGAAAAATGCGAGAGTAACATTGTTCCCTCCTTGGGTTGTTGCAGCTAATATCAGTTTGCTTCTCTATAGTATCAAACTATGGAATGAGTTAAAGATATGGGTCTGCTTTAGGATTTTATTTTATTTTTTAATTTGATTTATATGCCGCCCTTCTCCGGAGACTCAAGGCGGCTTACAGTGCGTTAAGCAATAGCCTTCATACTTTTGTATATTTTATACAAAGTCAGCTTATTGCCCCCACAAACTGGGTCCTCAATTTACCTACCTTAGAAAGGATGGAAGGCTGAGTCAACCTTGAGCCTGGCAAGATTCGAACTTACTTTAATTGCAGACAGCTGGTGTTAAATTACAGTGCCTTGTCTGCAGAGTATCCAGGCTTTCTGGATTTCTGGCCCAGCAGAGGGCATCATCGATATCCAGAAAAATATGGCATACTTCACTTAATTCTCCAAAGAAAGATTGAAGGCAAATGAGAGCCAGGCAGAAGAAGAACATCATGGCTTCAAAATCTAAGGGACTGGTTTGGATAAAACTCAGCAGTATGTTTTTGTGTGGCTGTTGATAAAAATAGGATTGCGAACATGATCACCAACATCCGATGATGGATATGGCACAAGAAGAAGAAGAAGAAGAGGGCTTCATATGATTGACCTTGTCTGGGTTTAGAAGATAAGCAGATTTGGGCTTCTTAGTACAAGTACATGGGTGGGAGTCACCCCCTCCCTTCGAATATGAGAACTAAAGTGGGAAGTTGAAAAATTACCCAGAATATTTTTCATAACTGTAGTGTTGCCTAAAGAACTACATGAATGTGAAATCACCAGTTCAATTAAAGTCTCATGGGAAACTTTAATTGTACCAAGTTTGCATTCCAGTCCAAGGAATTAAGAAATTCTAACAAGGGTGTTTGTTTGTTTGTTTGTTTATTAGTTTGTCAAACATGTACAAGATAGCAGGTATAAATATGAACATCAACATGAACAAAGGAAATGAATACAGATAAATGGGGACAGTAGGACAGGGACGGTAGGCACACTGGTGCGCTTATGCATGGCCCCTTTACGGACCTCTTAGGAATGGGGTGAGGTCCACAGTAGACAGTTCAAGGTTGAAGCTGTGGGGGGTTTGAGGATGTAACAGCGGAGTCGGGTAGTGCATTCCAGGCGTTGACCACTCTGTTGCTGAAGTCGTATTTTCTGCAATCGAGTTTGGAGCAGTTTACCTTGAGTTTGTATCGATTGTTTGCCTGTGTATTATTGTGGTTGAAGCTGAAGAAGTGTTTGCTGAGCGAGGCCTATAAAAAAGTG